TGCGGCTCAGATTAAGAGCACGCAATTTTTGTCGCTCTCAAATTAAGTACGGAATGAAAGTAATTCTATTATTTGCCTTTCTTTCGATTCTGTTCACGGAAAACATGTAATTTGCAAGCAATGCCCCAGCTCAGCATTATACTTTGCATATTCTTTTATTTTTTTACCTTTGCACTTTCACAAAATCACTTTATACAAAGAAAATTAATTAAAATTGTATTAATCAATAGAAATAATTCAAATCTATTTTGAACATTCATATAGTTAAAAACTGTTAAAATTATTTGTTTTTATTTATTTAATTACTTGACGAATTACTTGAAAGAAAGTTTAAGTCCAAAATAAAAATCAATATTTTGGAAAACTTTTTTATTAACATTTTAATAAATTTCAATGATATCTTGGAAAACTTTTTCATTAAATTTTTAATTTACTTCAATCAAGGATTTTCACTAAAATTTGAATAAATTTCATTCATTAATATTTTGCAAAGTTTTTCTCACTCAAATCAATTTCTTTCATTAATATTTTGGTCTAAGTATTCTTCCCTGGGGTACACCAAAACGGAAAGAGTATACAAATTTTTGTAGAAATAAATCAATGTATTTTCTAATATCTTATAATTTTGCATTGTAAATAGTTATGAATTACGTAATTAAAATGAAAGTAATTAATTTTACTGCGTTAATATTGTTTTACAGAAACAAATATTGATGAATTGTTGAACCAAGCAGAACCGTGAATTCAAAATAAACATTGACAAATTGCACGTGCAATAAGCGACGCTGAAAGCCGATTTTTTTTCAGGTTTCACTTTACAGGTTTTCCTTTATTAAAGCATGCCCGGAGCGACCTTTCCACCAAAGCGGCATTATTTATGTATGGAAATATTTCAGGAAATAATACGTCTACCAACAAAATAAAGCAAAAACACACCATAATCGCGGTGCCCTCAATTTCGGAAAATTGCCTTTTTCGTCGCCGATTTAGTTATAAACAAACATCGAAGAGAATTTTTACCACGGGAAAACTCGATTGATTTATTGAGCCGAAAGGTTCAGCTGCAACTTGTTATTCAAGTAGTAGCATTTCCTTCTCGTATCGGTAACGGATACAAAGTGCATAACTGTAATTCAACTGTGGATAATTGCCGTAACGATGCAAACTTGTTACATCAAACTGCATACAACAACAACTTGGTTCGTTTCTGCACGAGGAGGACGACACTTACGAGCGTATAGTCGAATACTGGATACTCTGCATGTTTAAGACCTTGGACATATAAATAAACCATACAATTCCGAATGAGCTGCACTGCAGTAGAATACATATTACCACATTTGATTAACGTAATCAGTCTGATAAACTTTATGCCACCCACCTAACGCAGATCTTATATAATGTTACACGAGCATAAATCTGTACTACATTCAAATAGTTTGCATGTTGTAATCGTTACCATTGCATAAATGTACAAAAAGGTTAAAGAAAATCAATAAATTAAACTGAAAAGTAATTTAACCAATACATTTTTTTTAATTAAGTTAATTTTGTTGTTAAAGTTGTAAAATAATTTTTTTATAGCAATTTTCGTTATATTTTCCGTAATATTTTTTATATATTTTCCAATCATTATACAAAATTAGAAGAATAAGAAAAAATCTTGTAATGGATCATTCTCCAATCATAAATGATAAACAGTTAGTTCTCACTGAACGTACTTTTATACAGGGTGACCCAATTGAAATGCAATTTTTGAATTCAATTATAATTTTCTATCATTAGGCGAAATATGAACACAACTTTTCCAACGGTTCAAAACTTATAGCAGTTTTAAGTTGGTTGCAGTTCAATTGGGCCACCCTGTATAAGAATATTCGATAATATGTACATTAAATAGTCATCCGTTCGAACTAACATACAAAAATTCGTATAAACGTCCAATGATGTCTGACATTGAATGATGTCTGAATTGTTGAAGAAAAACTAATTTTACACTAATATTACAATAATATTAATTATAAAATGTATAATTTATTTTTATAAAATTGAATAAGGAAAAACTAATATACGGTTTCTAAATTGGAATCGAAATGAAAGTTAGTGAAAGATCATAAACTTAAATGAAAATTTGAAGTCGAACGTGAGGAAAACTTCTAAATTATTTCGTATACACGTATCGAACTTGGTATAAATGAACGTATAAAATCAAGTATAAATGGAATTCGCTTGAAAATATAAAATTGGTTTTATGGGTGAACGGAAAACCAATGTTTTCCAAACTATTTATGTTAAATGTGGGAAGCAGTAATCTATCAATCTCTGCATAAAAAATATATATAATAATAAAAATATAACGTTCGAAGGTCTAACAGATTCTCCATCAATTTCGTTCAGTATTCAATTTCCGCGTTGGGGGCATCATCGCCCGTCCCACTAAACGAAGAATAATACAAAAAAGGAGGATAAATAGAATCCCCTAGAACGTTTGAGAGTTACCGGATAAAGTGAAAGTCTTTCCTCAAATCTCAAACAACCATAATCACAATTGTAAAAGTTTACCAATTTGAATACGAATATTAATTTAAAATCGATAATAAAATGATTACTCGTGTATAATACGCATACTTGATTTAGTTTCTAATAAAAATTGAAATTCGTATATATTACTCACCTATTCATCACTGTCTATTTTCATTAATAAACAGTATTGTTTACTTGAGTTTAATACGCACTTCGTTTTTTAAAGTTAAAAAGACTACAAAATATGCGTATTATATCAAAATTTTACAATGTGAGGAGTATACAATAAGTGATAATAATCTGCATGATATATCACAATTGTTCACTAATTTTTAATTATTTATTTTTGTATACTCCCGTATAATACGCACTTTATTTTATATTAGGTCTTCAAAATATTCGTATTATATACGAGATTTTACAATTTGATGAGTATATCTGCATGATTTTTGTATATTCCAGTGTAATACGCACTTTCATTTTTATTAAAACTGAAATGAGTACAAATTGTGGGTATTGTACTCGAGAATTATCGTAGATCTAATTACATATGTTCAATGGAATTATGTTGAAAATATTAGTATAATACACATTTTTATTTTCTTTTTAGATTTTATGGAAATTTTGGGTTGTTCCATAAAGATGATATAATTGTTGATTGAAATTATATTTCTTTTTATTGAAAACATCAGGGTTATTTTTAAATCGTGTATAATACGCACTTTCGCTTTCAATTATATTCGAGATTTTACGTAATTAAAAAAAAAATCAACTGCTGCTGCTGAACACATTTTTAACCAAAATTAGTATAAATTGTGCGTATTATACTCGAGATTTTGAGTAGATCCAAAAAGATTAATCAACACATGTAATTGAAGTATTATGTATTTCAGAATTCGAATGTATTTCAAAAATGAATGTAAGAAAGTTCAAATTATTATTGGAAATAACAGTATTTTTATACTCTATTATAATACGAACTCACGTTAAGTCTAAAACGATAAAATAACTTATCTCTTTATTAAAAATTATGAAGTTAAAACACGTGATAACAAACATCATGTTGTCACGTGTAATAACAACGTGGGATGCAGTAAAAGAAAAGTTAATTTAAAGTTTAAATGAGCAAAATGAAAGTGTAATAATTTCTTTTATGGAAAGTGTTAAAGGGATTTCGATGAATGCTATTTTCAATCGTTTTCCCACATCACACGTCTTCTTCTTTAGGTCCTTTCCATTTTGCCTGTTCGCTCTTCTTCTGGAAATGTATATTATTAAGGCCGCATGACAACATTGTTACATTATTCATGGAGGTCTAGTGCACATTAGCATTTCACTTTCATTCACATCCACACACACACGCACGCATACATAGATACACACACAGCTGGGCCGAACTCGCCCAGTAATTCGCTTTAATATTCAAATTGAGCTCCGCATCCGAACTTATCCAAAATTCACAAGAATATTTCAGCGAGAATTGCACGCGACTTCTGTTACGTTTCCAGTTTTCCTATACTGCACTCGACGAAGAATTATATAAATTATTTAAAGCCTTTGCGCCCGTTCCGCACCTACACATCTCAACTATTCGTGCCATTTTCAGTATTATTTCTATTACCTAAACGAATTTTATAAAGTATTTTCCAACCAATATACAGAATTACAAGAAACGGAAAGAAAACTTATACATATTAGATCATTATTGATAAAAACACTTTTATAGATATGGTATATTCGATAATACGTACATTAAAAAATCATTTGTTCGAACTAAAAAACAAATGTTCATATAAACGCATGAACTTTTGTATATATAATTTCTATTTAATGAATTTGTTTATTTGCAGGAAAAAATATATTTTTATAGGTGCAAATAGTGTAATTAAAGAATCAAAGGTTTCACTTAACGTACACACTTTTATATAAGGTATATTCGATAATACGTACATTAAAAATCAATTGTTCGAACTAACGTACAAATGTTCATATAAACGTACAATGGTGTCTGATAAGCTGATATGCATGAACTATTGTATACATAATTTCTATTGAATGAATTTGTTTATTTGCAGGAAAAAAATATGTGTATAGGCATAAATAGTGTAATTAACGAATCGAAGGTTTCACTTAACGTACACTCTTTTATATAAGGTATGATCTAAAATAATACATTAAATAGGCATTTGCTCGAACTAACATACAAAAATTCGTACAAACGTACAATGATTCGCATAAAAATTCTCTATTCGACAACAAAGTTTACGTTGTATGATCATAGAAGTACGTTGGTATAAATAAATTGACAAGTTTATCAAAATTACAAATATTTTTAAAAAAATAACTTTTCTATGATGTACTTTCACATAGCGTATGAAAAATTGAATTTTCTTATGTACGTTAATTGAACATTAACTTTTTTTAGAATTTAATCACGATAATTATATTATATAAAATAACAACGAAAATAAACTTACCAATAAATTATGTATAGTTTCCAAAGTATTCTTGCACTCTTTTACACCTGATTGACTCGAACTCATGCACTTCATTGCATAGTCACACTCACCTGGAACAAAAGAGAAAAACCAATGATTACTCGCTTTAATCTGCAAGCAAATTACGCTTGAAGCGCAGACAATTCAATTATAATTGAAATGCATTTATTCAGGATGCTCGGCATTAAATCTGATACACATAAAGTGAATGCAAAATGAAACTGCTTAAAGGTATAAGAAAAAAAGTCTCATCTGAATGCAATTACGATACAGCAAAGCACAAGCAATTTTGCCGTAATGTACACAAATTAAACGCCAATTACTTCATTGTTCTCAAATGCAAAATGTTTTTGTTTTGCATACAATTTCACGATTTTAAACCAAAACGTTTCTAATTTACTTATTATAAGTTAATCGTATACTGTTCATTACTTTAGATACTTATAATGTCAGAATGATAATAGGAAAATAATAAATTATTCAATAAATTTATCTGTTTTTCTTATTTACTAATTTAAATAAATAATATTTCAAAATATATAAGAAATTTGAAAAAAAAATATAAAAGTCAGAGTTTTAAGATTAATTCACTAATTATTCATAAATTTGTATATTCTTATTAGTAAAAATGATTTTTTTTTGTTATTATAAAAATATTTTTTAATAATTATTTAATAATTTCTTTGAAAATTTTTATAGAAACATAATTTAATCAACAAATTTAGCAGAAATTTATTGAAATATCAGTAAAATAAATTATTTAACATTTCATAGAATAAAACAAAATATGCAAAATTGAATCATGTATGAAATATTTGGGTATTCTGTTTGTTTTCAAGATAAAGTGAAACAGAATCAAGATGTGCCATGAATCAAAGGGTTAGGAATACATGATGAACTCCAGCTTTGATTCATGAGAGGATTTTTTTTTTGCAAGTGATAAATATGGCATTCGGATATATAACATTACATTAGATTACTGGCTACATAACAAAACATATCACAGGATGATAAAATGTGTTTTGCGTCTATCAGAAAGCATATAAAGATCGATGATTTATAATATAAACTGTAGTAATTCGTGTTTTTATCACCATTTTGAAAACAATCGCCTAATTTTTATAACTCTTATCAAGTATGCGAAACGCACTCTTTTCGTGCCCATATAAGGATTGTTTAAACATGTGCAGCTGCAGGTGATTTGTCGTGACGTAGATGAATGTTGTTTTCATGCCCAAATAAGGCGATTTTTAAAATAATCACATAACTTTATTGTTTTTTTTTTATCAAATTTTATGTAGCATTTATTGAAATTAAAAATGAATATACAATTTTAATAAACATTAAATACACGAAATTAATTCTAATTATCATTGAGTAATTAATAATTTAAATGTTTAATATTTTCTTATTCTTATAAAGTATATATTTTAATATGTACTAACACTCGATATAGTAATTTAATTGAATTAATTAATTAGATCTTAAATGAAACGCCCAAATTTTCGTGTCCATTTATCGATTGCTTTACATTTGGATAAAAGAAATTTTATATTCGTCAACAATAAAAAAATTGCTGAACCACTAATGCTTTTTGCAGGCAAAACCGAACGATATTACCAATAAAATTGTTAGTAGCAAAAAGAACGTGTGTTGCCAATCCTTCTTTTAGCGTTTGGCGATATGATTCGTAGCTGCAACTTAACATTTATGACTTTCTTATCTACTGTTCGAAGCTCTTTGTCTTGTTGTCTTCTCTCTTTGTGGTCCAATAAAAATGTTTAAGCTGTCGATTCGTCGATTCTCAGTCATACAGAGAAGAATAATTTCATAACTTTCATATACAAATTATTTTTAAGAGGCGGAAAACATACACAGCTAAATCTCGCATAGTGCGGGTAATAGTGTTTCTACCGGACTGTTTGAAACCAGACTAATCGACGAACCAAATACAGACAGAATTTTATAGTAATATTTTTCATATTAATTTTTATTGCATTCATTATTAATTATTTGCCAATATTTACAATATAAATGACCCATTTTATAAATTTTAAATTTATTAAATAAAGTATTAATAAATTCCATGAAAACAATAAATTATAAGTCAGTAGAAGTATGAAACAGATATTTTAATTGGAATGAATTCTGCAATTTCCACGCTGCGTGTGTTCTCGATAGTATAAAGTTAATTTTGAACTAAATTTTCTCATATTTCAACATTTTTAATAACACTGTGAACGCGGTCTATGTATTTTATTTATAAAAAAAAATACCTTCAATCATAAACATATGTAAATACAGTGAAACCTCGTTTGTCAAATATAAATGATTTTTTTTTTAATTGAAATAAAATTAATTTCGAATTGTTATACATTTAATTATCTATTATTAAGACTATGCCTTTACAAAACTTTTTTAATTAAGAGTTTTGTATAAAATTTATAAAAAAAAATTTATAAATAATTTTTTATAAGTTAACAATTAGAAGTTATTTTTTATAATTATTATACATTTATTACGTGTTTAAAAAAAACAAAAATAATTTAAAATGATTATGATGAGTATAATAAAAAAAATTAAGAATTGTTTGTAAAATAATAATAATTCTTTAGTAAACTATTTTTATCCGAAACTGCGGTTTGAAGAAACATAGTAGTTTTGGTATATAACTTCTGTTCGGTTATGGCTTTTGGTAAGGAGGAATCTACGAATGAAAGAAAGAACGTGTTCGTGCAACAAATGTCCCTTTGTGTCTTACAAATGTGGACTCTCGCATTAATGGGCACGGCCGTATAAAGAATTCAAAGGCATCCATTAGAGATGGGATTGTACATGAATAATAAGTGTTAATGGTGCACGGAATCTGTTTATATGAATCCACATTTCGCGGTGAACAGAAGCAGTAGCAAAGGTAACAAAGGTATTAGTAGCAAGTTTTCTTCGGCAGGAAAACCGAAACGTATTACACACTCGAAGGATTATACACATTTAATAATACCTCAGAGGTGCAGTTAACTTCGAAATTAGCGGCGTGTAAGTGCGGAAAATTCTCTTCGCGTAACTCCATTATGCACTTAATGGTGCGTTCATTAGAGGCGAAAGTAAAAGCGGAAAATGGCCCACCTTAATATCATCATTCATTTTCATACTATGATGATGCGCTTGTTGGTGTTTACGGTTTATGTAAAATCCAACTTTTGAAAATAGTAAATCACTACACCTATACCTCGTTTTACACGATACTTTCTTTACACGGTTTAAAACATACTAAATGTTGAAAAGAAACAATTTTTTGCCTTTACTTTAAATTTATAATTAATAAACAATGAATTTATACACTTCAAAAAGTTACAATTTTAACAGAAAGTTAGAGTTTTGAATTATAATTGTAATTTTCAAGTTTGGATAAAGAAATTCGAACTGTCAGTTGTCTATTTTATGAAATTAACAAAAATATTAAAGTATTTTGATAATTACAATAATTTTATTGACAGAAAATTCGCGTTTTCATGAAAAAATTTAGAAAAAAAAATCAATAATTAAAATTAGAAATTAGATTAAGCGTTTTTTGTATACTTTTCGATTTACACGGTTTTACTTTGAAAAAGTTACAATTTCGATTTACACGTTTTTCTCACCGCATCTCAATGCATTTACACATTTAAGAAATTTTAGCAAAAAAAAACGATAAAACCGAAATTAAATATGAAATATGTTACAAAGGAATTAATTTGGTTTGAAACAAAACTATGAAATAAATAGTTCAGTTTTTAATATTAGTTCCAGTCTTAAAAAAAAGTTAATAGGAAATAAATAGTTATTTTTTATATACACCTATCCTTAGTTTTACACGGTATTCGATTTACACGGTTTAAAACATATACATGTTTTTGCTTTTACAACGTTTATTTTTTTTTTTAATAATCGATTTACATGATTTTCTCAAGAACCTATTTACCATATAAAACGAGAGATATGTGTATTAATGGAAGAAGTTAGTTGCTGGTTTTAAAATTTTATCAATTTATTAAAAATGCCGGTTTTTTAACACACATTTGTATTATTGGTGTTTTTGATGACGATGTTTTTGTTGAGGATTAGTTTGAATCGATTTTCTCAAGTGCATCTCTTTGTACTTGGAGAATAATAAAGGTTCAGGTGGTGTTTCCATACAGTTACGATTTTAATTCATCATTAATTCAATTAGAATCCGAGCGTAGAGAAGCGGAAAGGATTCGTTGTCAATGTGTGTCGCACGCACACACCTGGAGTTGGCTGGTTGGCTGCACGCTGCGAATTATCAATTTAATCAGAATCCCGGTGCAAATTAATACTGTACAGCTTGTAGAAAATAAATAAATAGATAAAACATATATTCAAGCAAGCAATGCATACATAACGACAATCGCATTGAACTGTATACAATGAGTAACATCTAAATTGACTCTATACATTATATAACAGCGACGAGTAAATAAATTCAGTTCAACTTATGTAATCTAGTTATGTCAGCGTTTATCAACTTATGAGTCATGACCCAAATCATGAAGCTAAATTTGTAATGACAGATGTCACATTGTATCAAAATGACAAATCAAATTATTATTTTAAGAAAATCTGTTATTGTTTTGTTTTGTTTTTCATATTCAATAATGCACCAAACCCTGACAACTAACCCAAACCATTTTCTTCCAACTAGCATTAAGTTAACCCTTTAACCACCAAACTTTTTTTCTTCTTTTTTACTGTCTCCTTGTATATATTTAAAATGTATTCTGGCTAAATGAGCTCAAGCTCGCATGTACACCACCCCCTTATAACTACTACTCTAATCTGTATTTATGCAACATAATAAAAGTCTGTTAAGTCAGTCAGTCATTATGTCATTTAGTTATGGTTCTTTGTGGAAGCTCAGCTGTCTAAATCAGTTTCTTAAGTTATGAGTCATGACTCAAATCAAGACGTTAAATTTTTAATGACAGCGTCAAAATGTCAAAAATAAATTCTTGTTATAAACAATTAGTACTACTATAAATAAACATGCTCATAAGAGCTTATAATTTTAACA